AGATGGCGCGGTGGTCAAGCTCCTCCTGAGCAGCAATGGCGGGCGATGTTCTGTACGTGAAATTGAAGAAGATGATGACTTTTTATTCACAGCAAATTACCAAACTACCCCAAATTGTGTGGCTTTTAGTTCCAAATGGGCTGTGTCATGAATTGGGCTGCTAGGTAGTGGGCTGTGATAGCTGATTTTCTTTTCTTCAATAAAGCCTAGTAATTGGGCCATTTCAATACACAGCTCGCACACCGTCTTCATCCGATTATTGTCGTTTTCGCTTTCTGTAAATACCTCGACACCATTTTCTATAAAAACATAAAATAAAACACCTTCATCATAGCTTAATAATATTAATTAAATAAATAATAATATATATCAAACTACGAAGAAACGGACACTAAAACCACTATAAAATACACGTAAAAATGACGCATGTCACAGAACCCAACGCCGTGGGTGGCCTCGGCGTCGGGCCTCCGATGCTTAAGTCAGTGCTCAGATCAAGAGAGAGAAAGTGTAGTAATGTAATGAATAGAAAGAATGAGAGAGTGAGGTACCTTGACCCCCTTTTATAGGGGGAGTGTACCTTTTGGGCCCAAGTTGGGCTTGACCCCTATCGTTGGGCTTAGATCTTAGTGGGCTTATCCTCCAATATGTATTCGCTTTATCCATTAGACCAGGTCCAGTATAATATCCTATATCAGATTGAATGTAACAATTTTTAAGTTTTGCCAGCACATTAGTGCTAAAAAAATTACATTGAAATTACATTGTTATTAATGTGTCTTACAAGTTAGCTGTGATATTTTATAATGAACAAATTTTTTGTAATAAAAATACTAAACATATAAATATCAAAATTATACGTGAATAGTTATTAAATAAAATAATTCGAATTGTACGTGTATTTTATTATACAATTATATTATTAATATAATTAATTAAAATATTAATATATGCTATATAAAATTTACATTGTTCATTCTAAATTTATAGTTTTTTATTATTTTATTTTTTATTTGGTGATACTTTTATGAATATTGTTATTATAATACTCAAAGCATATATAAAATTATATTATTTCTTATATTCATAAAATAATTATCATTAATATATGATAAATTTTCATATTTATATTCTGTTGCTTGAAATATAAAATTCCAGCTAAGAGTAGTTAATGTAACAATTCAACTATAAATATGATGCATATTTTTTTATATTTTAGTTGTTGTTATTCTATACTAAGTTTATATTAATTTTTATGTAACACATGCATATGCACATGATGGATTACTAGTTCGTTCTTAAACTATGTCAAATAGATTAATTATTGTGGATTTATGAAAGTTCAGTTTAATTACTCACAATTTAACTTTGAACTGCAGTAGATTATGATCCTTTTTAGGCATTTAATTGAAAATTTAACCTTGTGTTTTGTTCCTAATTATCAAGGTAATCAATTATACATTGCCCTGTTTATTATATTGTTGATTTGATGAATATTACAACTGTTAGGCCATGTGTTCTATATACAACTACTAATTTTTTGTACGAATATTTTTACAAAATAGTAACCAACTGAAGAAAATTAAATTGCAATAAAAAATGGAGAAACAAAAACCTAAAGAACAACGAGCCATTTTATAAAACCAACAAATATCTTTTTAAGGTCTAAATATCAATTTAATTGAGAAAAATATTACCTATTTTTAGCATATTCTTCAATCTCCCTCCCCATCCATTCCCAAAGAGAGGAGGAGAATGCAACCGAAAATATCCTAAATTTTTGTACATAATAACTCACACATGCCCAAAAATCTAATGGTGCTCCTTAAACAAAGTTCCTCCAACCTTTCATCTCACTCTCCACAAAACATGTTCGTCCTCCATTCCCATATAACACCCCTATTTTTCCCCCCTACAAAGAAAAACTTACTATAAGCAGCCTCGGGCTTTTGTCTTAAGAGGGTTCGGCTATAGCAACAAACCCTCGTAAAATGAAGCCTCTCGGCTGCTACCTTCTCCTCCTCCTCCTTTTTGCTCTCCATGCAAAAACTCGAGCCCACCGCCACCTCCTCAAGATATCAACCAATCCACGTCTCGATAGCGCGCGAAGTGCCCTCCATGCTTGGAAGAAGTCCATTCACTCCGACCCGTCGAATTTCACCGCCAACTGGGTCGGCCATGATGTTTGCTCCTACAATGGAGTTTTCTGTGCACCTGCGCTCGATGATCCTTCCCAAACAGTTGTTGCCGGCGTAGACCTCAACGGTGCCGACATCGCCGGACACCTTCCCGACGAGATCGGCGACTTGGCCGACATTAGCCTCCTTCACCTCAACTCCAACCGATTTTGTGGGGTCGTGCCCGATTCTATCTCCAAGCTAAAGTTGTTGTATGAGCTCGATCTTAGCAACAATCGCCTCGTCGGGTCCTTCCCAGAGATCGTCCTTGGCTTACCCAAGCTTAAGTACCTCGACCTCAGGTTCAATGACTTCGAGGGACCCTTGCCGCCAAAGTTGTTCGAAAAGCCGCTTGATGCTATTTTCCTCAACAACAATAGGTTCGTATCAATCATCCCAGAGAGCATCGGCAACTCGACCGCCTCAGTGGTCGTGCTGTCGGACAACAAGCTGACGGGATGTATCCCGAGCAGTATAGGGAACATGGCAGGAAAGTTAGACGAGTTGATCGTGTCGGGGAACAAGCTCTCCGGATGCCTTCCGGAGGAGATCACACTACTTAACACGACCACGGTGTTCGACATCAGTGCAAATGATCTCGTTGGGGACTTGCCGCAGGGCATGGAGTACATGCAGGGCGTGGAGGTCCTTAACATTGCTAAGAACAAATTCAGAAGCGACGTACCGGACACAGTATGCACACTACCGAGCCTCAAGAACTTTACCTTCTCGTACAACTATTTTGATGCCAGAGACGAGGCTTGCTACCCCAAGGCGGTGACGGGGCTTGTGATTGTTGATAAAGAAAATTGTTTTGCACAAGAGAAGAAACAGAGATCCGAGAAAGAATGCAAGAAAGTACTAAGCGAAAAGGTGGATTGTGAGGCCACCGGATGCAGATCCCCCATGGATGGTGGAGCGCCGAAGCCTAAGCCTCCAAAGAAAGGATCTCCACCAAAGCCAGAGCCCAACCCAAATGCACCAAATTCTAAGCCAGGTCAGGCGCCCAAACCTGCACCACATCCATATAAGCCTTCTCCTTCACCTAAACAAACACCAAAGACATCGGCACCCGCTCCCGAGCAAGTGATTGTTTCCCCTCCAACTAATAGTGGGATACACAAGTCGCCTCCGCCACAACTTGCCTTACCAACACCAGTATATTCTCCTCCGCCTCCACCAGCCGCCCCTATTTTCTCTCCCCCACCACATATCTATTCCCAACCACCACCATTGGTCCAATCACCACCACCTCCACCGCCAGTCAACTCTCCACCGCCGCCAGTCCAATCTCCACCACCTCCACCACCGCCAAAATCATCACCACCCGTCAACTCTCCACCACCGACAGTTCACTCATCACCGCCCCTCAACTCTCCACCGCCAGTCCAATCACCACCGCCCGTCAACTCTACACCACAACCAGTCCAATCATCACCACCGGTCAACTCTCCACAGCCAATCCAATCACCACGACCCGTCAACTCTCCCCCACCGCTAGTCCAATCACCACCCCTCATCAACTCTCCACCACCTACATTCCAATCACCACCACGCGTCAACACTCCACCACCAGTCCAATCACCACCACCCGTCAACTCTCCACCATGGTCGGCCCAATCACCACCACCCATCAACTCTCCACCATCGTCGGTCCAATCACCACCACCAGTCAACTCTCCACCGCCGCCATTCCAGTCACCACCACCGCCAGTCAAGTCACCACCGCCGCCAGTACCCGTAAACTCTCCACCGCCGCCAGTACAATCACCCCCGCCACCGCTCATCCACTCTCCGCCACCACCGGTACAATCACCTCCCCCACCACACCACTCTCCACCACCACCAGTCTATTCTCCACCGCCGCCAGAGCAACCACCTAATAGTCAACCACATGGCCACTCTTCACCCCCACCATCAACTTCACAGCCTCCACTAGTTGTCTCTCCACCTCCACCGGCCTTTTCGACTCCTCCTTCGCCGGTTAATTCCCCACCGCCGCCACCTCATGTGATATACCCACCAGTGAGAATCCCGGGGCCGTTGGGCGCCAGTTACAAATCCCCGCCACCTCCGGCCATCCCAGGCTACTAATGAGTTTTATATTCTCGTCCTATTTATATTTCATTTTTACCAGTAGTAGTTCAAAAATCAATGTACAAACAAAGTTCATAAGTTTTGTCTCTTCATATTCTTAGGTTCTTATCTAGTTTTAGTCCATTCTCTCACAATCGTAGCAATTTATTTCCACAAAACAAAATTGCTTCTACCATGTCTACTTAATCCGTGCATGTCGTTATTGTTTATGTTGAACTTCACAAGTTATTCATTTGAGTACAAGTTTAAACTTTCATATTGGAGAATACAACTAATAAATCCATTCCTTGTTATATATAAGCATGATCATCCACAAATTAAATAATTCAGGTTTATAATCTTTTAACTGGCTGTGAATCATAATTATCAACGTTCTTATTAGTGATTGATATTGCATAAATAGAATTAATTTGTAGTAACGAAACTATGATCAATGATTTTAATTTAACCGCCATGAAATTGCTTCTGCTTCTGAGCCCCAAAAACTCAAGGCCGATTTATACTATAGTAAGCTGTGAATTTAAATAAAAAGGAAAAACTACTATACCACGTTAAAATTCATACAAAAATATACAAACATATTCATCACACATGAGATAACCGGTGATTTATTGAGGTAAAATTTTGAATATATACAAAACTCATTCATTTTACAATAAAAATACATCATATTAACACCACTCATATTTTTCAATACAAATTTTTAATTTTTAAATTAATAGTTGCTGCAGTTTATCTATAAATTCTATTATACCTCTACTAAATATTCATAAATATCAATTACTATTTTATAAATACTCTATGCATAATAATTAATTATAATTTTTATATCGCACAAATTTTTATTAAAATAATCACTATTTTTTTTTTTATGTTTTTATCACTAATGAAAAATTCCACACAAATGAAAGCATATTCAATCACATCCTTAGATATCTACACAAAAAATAATACTATAATGTAGCCATCCATTTTGTGCCTTATTATTTTTTATTTTAAAATTAATTAGTTCTTGCAAAAATAAAAATAAAAAATAAAATAAAATTATGCATCTTATAATAATTCATAAAAAAAATAAGTAGGAGATAAATGTGGTAACTTCATGAATTACTAGTATTACTCTGATGGGGTCGGCTTTAGGCGGTATGT